GAAGTCTTGATTGCGTGTGTTTGGCGAGTCGGCGAGTCCATGTCTTTTTAGTAACATAAGTATACATATAGATACTGAAAAAGAAACGAATCAATTTGGAACGGCTTTTTGGAAGATAGAAGTCAGGTACCGGTAGGAGTTCTTTGTCTTTTTTGCCACGGAGTGTAGCCAAAAGACACCAGCATAGACTTGAACATATGGGTGGGTCCAAAAGATTCCATACAAAGAAGTGTGCTTCGGCATTCAACCAAGCAAAAGAAAGCTCCTATTTCAGTTGGAAGCACATCATCTATCATCCGTGGCGCCGTTCCCCGAAAAGACACGTGGTTCAATCCTCGTTGCTGGGCTCTTTCCACCCAAAACCTGGAATCAGCTGCTTCGCGTTCGGCACCGATCCCGATCGGTCGGACCGAACGGACGGAACGGCGAGTCCACGGAGAGTCTCGGCGACTTTTCTCCCCCGACCCAGGAGGGCCCGGGAAGAACATCGAGTCCCGGCGTGATGTCGCGTGTTCCTCATCTCACCCAGGGAAGAACATCGAGTTGGACCGCGCGAGCCGTGCGTGTCAGAAGGAAATGATGGAGGCAGCACCCGGCGGTTTGACCGCTCCGCGGGGTCAGGGGTGCCGGAGGGTGCCGGACGTTGGTGCTTTGGAAATTGAAAGTCAGTGGTGGGTAAGGTAGTACAGTATAGTGATTCTGGAGGCAAACTGGGCAGAGCTGTAGTTAGGGAAGCAAGGGAAGTCTCCATGATGCCTTGTTTGTGAATGTATGACGTCACCGATGGTCTGTTTGTGAAACATCGGCCCGAGTTTGCAGACTGGAGCCGCTCACAGAAGCCCAATCCCCATCATGGAGGATGCCAGGGATCAGTTCTGCTACAAATCCCATGTTTGTTTGCGCACAGCGAAGTACAGAAGAACTGGGCCAAGAAGAGGTGTGGATTTGGAGAGAGGTGTGGAACCCTGGATCATTTGGATGAGTTCATCGAACTGCTGGAGAGAAGAAAGAAAACCCATGACAAGAAGAGCACGGACCGCGATCGAAATGTTCGGAGAAAGGCATGGTTCCAGGTTCTGCCCCCAACCTACTAGCGATGGCCTCCAACCTACTAGCAAAAGGAACCTACTAGCAATGGCCTCCTTGTAGCGATGCCCTTTGTTCCTAGTAGCGAACATTGCTCCTAGTAGTAAGGCTGGGAGCCCCGAACGTAGCGTCCTTGTTCCGTCCGTAGCAATGGCCTCCACCCTACGTACTCGCAATGGCCCTCAAGCTACGGTCGCCCCTTTTAGGGGTCGCTCGGTCGCCATGCGATCTCTGCTGGGATCGCTGGCCGAGACGCTTCGTCCTCCAGGCGCAGGAGGAGCTGGAGAAGTGTTGCCGCTCCAAAGGACCCGTGCCGCCGTGGGTCGGCCAGAAGGGAAATCGAGCTGAGCTCGAGCCGTTGAGGTGATCAAGTGACCCAGAAGATATAGGTCCATATAAAGTCCATATAGATCCTATGCCGTATGTTTTCACGGCTTAGGACTGCAGAGACGTCGTTTGTCCACGAGGCTTTCACGCCCAAAGTGGTCGTCCAGGAGCCATTGATGAGCAGATTGCGCAGCAGCCGGGGCTCCAGGTCAAGACCTGGGGATTGAAGCGAAGCGAGGTGATCCAAATGCTTCGCTTCCGGATCTTTTTTGGGTCCACACCGGAACGACGCTGCTGGTTCTGTGCGACCGTCAACAGAAAACCCGTCGGGGGAAACCGACGAAGTGCCCGCTTCGGATCCCGCGGGAAGTCGGGCACCGACCAAGCGATCGCGGCGAGCCAGACGCCCCCGGGGATATAAGGCCGCTCAATCCCCAAATTCAGAGCTTCACCGAAAAATAGATGTGTACATTATAAGTTACAAGGCTTCATCCGGTTAAAGACTTCAGGTGATGTGTTGATCTTCCCTGTGAGGGGGGTTCGAACCCCCTTCTGGGCTCGATAGTATTTGGTCCAGCGCCGTGAGCCAATCCTCAGTGAAAGTATCTGAAAGTAGTCTCAGCTCACGATTCCATCCTGTTCCACCAGCTCGCGTTGCTGAAGTGGGCGCCCTTTTCCCCAGATCATTCTGCCGTCACACACCGTTTTGGATATGTCAACAAGACGATATTTCTGACGGCTTTCACCCAATGACTGTGGCCAACCTCGGCCGCGACCGATGGTGTCATTCTTTTCAATCTACGACCGGTGGCGTTTTGGCGGCTTTGATCTTAGAATTAGTTGAAGGAAAACTCTTCAGGAAACATCTGGAAACCCTATCATGTTTGGTGGAATTCTTGTGGGTTTCGTGTAGATGTTCCATTGCTTCTAGGGTGGAGGCCATTCCAATTGAATTGGAGGCCATTGCTACTAGTAACAATCAAGCTTTCCAATTAGAAGCTTCCTTGAGAATCGTTTCGCTGGGAATCGTTTCACCTGCAGTAACCAGAATCTTTTTAGTATGTCTTTGAAGCTTCTTAGTCATCCCGGGCCCCTAGTAGTGGTGCTTCCTTGGGAATTAGGCCAAGAGACCTTGTACGTGCCTGGCATCGATCGAGGCTCAACCTCTGCGAGGAGCTCCGGACCTTGGCCGAGGGGCAGAGCTCCTAAGCTGCAGAGGGGCAGATCTCCTAGTGAGTGGCGTTGACCGTTGGATCGCATGGGTTTGAGACCAAACAGAACTTGAAACTGAATGAATGAATCACACTTCAAATCACCAGCAAATGAGTCCTTACGACTCCAGGGGTAGCTACACCAAAAACAGGTCTATAGACAGACATGGCGTGAGCGCTTTCAATCTGGAACCGACAACAAATAAGACTCAAATCAGACAAGCTGTGCAAAATGGATCATCTCGCCGTGCCCAAACGCAAGAGGCGGAACAGCCACAGGCACCGCCAGCTGCACCGGCTTGCGAGCTGCCCAGAGGGAGCTTGGAGCTGCCGTGGCTCGACACAGGGAACAGGCGTCCAAGACAATGGTCTTCCAGAATTTTACTGCCCTGTGTGCCACTGGAGGAGGTCGTCGGGCCTGCGTGGAGAGATCTACCTCCCGAAGCACTCGTTTTTCTTTTGATTAAATGTACTTTCTTGGTTTTGGTTCTTTCTTTGTTTTTGGATTCCTCTTCTCAACATTGGTTCTGTTTGATTTGGAAAAGACGGCTCATATTGACCGTGGGAGACATGAACATGGAGAAGCTGAAGGCCTTCTATGGAGAAGACCCCTTCTCCAACAGAAGAAGATTGAGCTTTCCCGGCGTTGCTGTGCTCGAGTCGAAGAGACCACTTTTGCCGCTCAAATCTTCGTTCTCGGCGTCAGTGAATCTGCTCATTGGAGCGCTTGTGGTCTCTCTTTTCAACAATCTCTTCGGTGTGTTTGGATCATTCTTTTCAACACTCTTGTTCTCGTTTCTTTTTGGAATGATTGGTGGTCTGATCTTTGTCTTCTTTCGTCTCTTCCTTGTTCGCACTGTTCCAAGCTATGTTGCTGTCTTGCTGCCTGGCACGCTCCAGGATTGTGTGGAAACGTGGGATGGTTGGGCAGACGAATCGCGCCCCTTCGCCAGCAGAGCAGTGTCGCTCTGTCACCGATTGGTCAATGCGCCCAAAGCACGGAGAACGACACGCCTCCGCTATTTGATCCCCGGACGTAGCCTCTCCCAAGGCTCCGGGCCATTTCCTCTGCCAGGGCGCCCTACGCAATCGAATTCCACACCCAAAAACGAGCCCAGGCGGCCGCAGAAGTTCAAAACGTCACTTTCTGACAGCGGCAAGAAGACCATTTCCAAGCATACATATCAGCCTTTCCAAATGTTGCTTTCTGACGCCCGTTAAAGTCAATATCTAGATCACTTTACATCCATTCTCGACCCTGTCTTTCCTTTAACCACCACCGTAGCTTGTCCCTAGGCCCCTTCCACTTAGTGCCAAACGTCGCTCTCTGACGCAGTAAACCTACCTCCAGCTCTATCCTGCACTGTCCCTTCAACCACCAATGTATCCTGTCCCAAGGCTCCCTGTCAATTTCCTCCGCCATGCCATATTGTTTTACACCAAAAAATGGTCCCAGACAGCTGACGCCTGCACAAGTCTAACCTCCAGGTCTATCCTGGAGTGGTAAAAGTCTATCTCCGGGCTTTGCTCAACCCAACTTCAACCTATCAGGCAGGGAGAGCGGGGAGGGCTTGGTGGACCCTTCTCATCGCCACCCCTCACCTGAAGCGGGAGTCACCTTCCCGATCACCGTTGAGAAGGATGAAGCAGGAGCCAGCTTGCAAGCCCACTTAAGCGAGAAGCCTTGGCCAAGGCCATCCCAGACAACCCAAAGAAGAGCGAAAGCTCGCCCGCCCGCGGCCAACCCACACCAACCGTGGAAGGGGTGGAAGGTCGCTCGGAGTGGAAGGTCGGGCGCTCAAGAAGTTGCTTCGCGAGCAATGGATGAGAAGGGTGCAGATACTCGTAGAGCTGGGGCCATGGATGTGTCACATGGTCGGTCGCGGGCTCCTCCGCGTCGGCGTGGCTTTTGCCGAGCTGGTCAAAAGGCACTTCTTCTTCCCAATGTTTGTGGCAACCCAAGGTCAGCTTTTATGCGGGGCCCATGCACATACAAAACCAACGTGACTTCTTAAAGGCCCGTGACAAAAACCATCAAAAGCCCAGCATGTTTACAAATTTCAAGTTGATGTCTTCCAATCAAACGCTCATTTCGTGCGGGGCCCCGGTTGGCATCGATGCCTTGTTTATGGCAACGTCGCCGTTAGCGGCTGTAGCGGCTGTGAGTATTTTGCTGCTTTTTACTACGTTTTGCTACTTTTGGTCAACTTCCGGTTACGAGGTTGCGTTGTTTGCGGGGTTCCAGTGAGGTTCGGAGGGTGTCGCCGTTGTCTTTGCTCTTCGCTCGCAGTTCGGGCTTCGTTCGCGTGGACCTGGCGCATGCGTGTACCATTCTCAGATCCTCAAGCTTACCGAACCGACCGTTTCCACTCCGCCATGCTGACGGCTGTGGAGTTCTTTGAGTTCGTCTTGCTGCTGCTGGCTTTGTGTCAGCTACAAGGTGTACCGTGGGATTACTTGCTCAATGAGTTGGTCTTCTTGCGTCAACTGACTCCGCTGCTGGTGATGAGTCGGTTTGAGTCGTTGACGCCTGGATCCAGATGTTGGACAATCTCCATGAAGATCTCGAGACCATAGTGTATGCGGACGGCTGTCGCGCTTGGCGCAAAGCTGCAGACGATGCTGGGTTTGATTTCCAAGAAGTCAACCATTCTTTGATGCAATTCGCGCGCCTGTTTCGCCAGCATCGCTGGCACACAGGCATCGGATGCCTAAAGGAACCAGCCACAAATGATGTCAAGAGTCGTCTAGTGAATCCAGATATGCATAGCTGAGCTTTCGCGTGGCAGTGGCGGTACAATGCCCGGATCCGCTGTCAGAGCCTTTGGGAAGCAGTCCCTGAACTCTTCCGTTGACCCGCTTGTGGAAACTTCAGCGTCTGCAAAATACCCACAGCCGCTAGCGGCGACGTTGCCTTGTTTATGCTGCCGGCGTCATAATGACCCCAGCATGTTGGAGCATTTTTCAGCAAATGACCCCTGCGAGTTCTGGCGGAGATAATTTGGCCAAACCGCGGGGCTTTGGTTTTAGAGAATGTGCTCCGATCCTCCTCGAAGTGTTGTTTTGTGTTTGGTGGTTCTACTTCGGCTGGTCAAGACACCCTGTCCCCATCCTGAGTTGAGACTTTGGTTTTCTGTGGGCTGTGGACGTTGAATATGTGAACTCCTGCTTTTTTGAGCGACAAGGACCAGGTGCAGTCTTGAGCGGCTTGTGTTGGACACGGTTCTGGACCCAGATCGTTGGACGTTGTCTTGTTGCGTTTCAGAAGAGTTTCACGGATTGGACACGGGTGTGTGCGATCTTGAAGCTCACGCAAGTGGAACATGCACGCTTGCAGTTCTGCCGCAAGTTCAACAAGGTCTTGCGCGGCCAAGCTGTCAAGACCGGCACACAGGTGATCGACCGAGCGTGGGGCACCTGAAGCAGTATATATGCAGTATATATACCCAATAGTGTCCACGCCAAGTGTGCAGATGGGCGCATTATGAAGTATGTGTGGAGCTCGCAGTTTCGAAGCAACTGTGGAAAAGTTTGTGGAGGAGCATGGACAAAAAATACTTCAAAGGTTGTGTTTGCTGCGCTGCCGAAAATACAAGGGGGACAAAACTTTGAGACATGGAAACCGTAGTTACAGTGTGACTTGCACAAAACATTGCCGCCTGGAGTTGTAGGAGCAGTACAAAAACAATGCATGAAAGTCATGCACAAGAGTGAAAACGTGCACTTCGTGGGAATCCTGCCTGGCGACACAAACTGGCATGTGCTTAAACACCACGACCCTGAACAACGCCGGCACCTTGTTGATTCTATGTAACATGCATATGTATATGATATATCTTTACAGAAGCGTGTCAAAAACCTCTCTGAAGGAAAAAGGAATCATTTATGCCAGAAAGGGAAAGAAACAAAATCGTATAGACCCAAAACAACATGCTCAAGCGGCAGCACGTACCAATGTTGTTTCTTCTCCCCTTGTGAAAGGCGAATGTGCGGTGACAAGTGGATTTCATTGAGGTGGAACCATTCATGGGGGTTTTCAGCACCACCCCGGGTTTCCCAAGCCATCCTCAGGCCATCGTTTGCAGAGCGACCTGAAACGTTTCTCATCGATGAAGGCAGCGCGTTTCTTTAGCGACTCAGGGAACCATGGGTCCCATAGCAGAGCGGTCCCGGACCGTGGGAACCCATGGAACGTCAGGAAAAATTCAGGTGTTTTTCTATGAACCTGGAGCTCCTGTCTAGGTGCCCTTGTCCTGACTGGAGGTCACGAGAAGTGGCCTGGATGGTCCAGCCAAAACTTAACCCCGACAGGATGATCCTGATATATACACCCTCCAACCGGCTGTTTGAAGACCCTGACAGCGTGGTTCCTGGGCACCTGTTGTCACCAGGAAACGCCTGTTGGAGGGTCCAGGTATATGTGTTTTGCCTTTGAGTTTTCTCCCATGTGATCTTTAAATCATTGTTTTTGTCCTTCCTTCCCTTTCTTCATCTCTCTTCCTTTCCTCTATGAGGCATCTTGAGGTTGATGTAGACATCTGAAATCCTCATTCCTCATCGCTCTTCGCCATCGATCCTTACGCCGAACGTCGAGACAGTACACATCGTGTTGATGTGCAGTTTGGGCCGGTCTGTTCAGGCTGATCCAGTTGTCTTAATCATCCATCCGTGGCAAAGGATGAAAACACTGCCTTGGACAAATCCAAGACACGGGGTTGATCAGATGTGACAGACACGGGGCACTTTCCTCGACCCTTAGGGGTCGCACTGTGTCAGAAATCTGGAAATCAAGTTGGGATCTTGGAGGACTTCCATGTCCACAACCATAATCCTTTTGGGGTCTTGGATAACTATCCTGCTTCCACCAAGGGACCCAACTTGATCTCCGGCCCACTTCGGTCACACGGGTCACACCGCCCTGGAAGACGTTACGGCCAAGACGAAAACGAAGCTGAAACCACGGTTTGGGGGTCCATTCATGCCCATTCCAGGCTGGTATTCTCCACTCATACCTATCAAACTCACCGTTCCTTGTCCAGGAATACCTACGAACTGAAAAAGACTGGACCAGAATAGTGACACACCTGTCATCGCTGCCAGGCCAAGTTGCTCGAACTGCTGGTGGCAGCCTCACCGGAGCGGCAGAAGGAGGACACCTCGGCGGAGCAGCTCCGTCGCTCGATGGCCGTCGCGTCTGCTGTGCGGAAGAGAAGATCCAAGTAGGATCGATGGTGATACGTCGTGGAGCAGCAGTCAGCAGTGGGTTCCGTTTCTTTTTGAGGTCAACTGCCTGCATCAACCTCTCCAGAACTTCCACTTCTAGAAAGCGGTCCTTTTTGTCGAACTCTTCGGATGGGTCGTTCACTGAAGCCCTGGTCACACGATCACAACGGCTCTGGACCTCCCGCGTCGTCGGCTCGGTCGGCTCCCAAACCGGCACCGTTTCCGGTCGGCGCGGCTCGGGTTTGATGCTGCGAAGTGAAGGTCGGTTGGGTTTAGCAGCGTGTCGCTCGGGGAGCTGGTTCTTAACCCTCCGAAAGCTGAGCAAAGGCAAAGATAGAAAGCGCAAAACGTCATGTTTGTCCTGCAAAACGTCGCTTGCATGGTGCAGTCTCGGTGAAAGACCATTGTTTTACCTGAAGACGACCAGTCGTTGGAACCTTCCATGGACAAGTCGGACAATCCCAAAATCATTCTCATAATCTTCAAACCTCCGGAAGTTAACCAGTGGGACCAGAGACTGCAAGAGTTGTGCCTTCGCAGAACACCAGCGAAGCGAACTTGATGTTGCGCATGAGATGTTCACATCTTTGACCACTTTCCATTGAATTGCCCGCCGCTTGGACACGCTGGCGTGACCCTTCGCAATGTTGTCCCGAGGGCACCCGACACGCCTGGCAGGTGCAGGAGCTCCTTGGGGAAGCGGAGCGCCTCACTGGACGCACGGCGGAGCAGCTGCAGCGTAGCCTGAAGGCGGACGTCGAGCGTGGCAGGAGGCGGATGGTACGCAGATGTGAATGTGGACGTCCGTTGATGGTTTTGATTTCCTAAGCGCTGTACATATAGGGGGTCTTAAATAGCATGATATATCTCATCCACATGACGGTTTGGTGTTCGGGGTGTCCATGTGAAGGGATGGCGCACTGGATGTCCATGAGAACACCCCTTGCCTGCGTCCGAGTTTCGGAAAGAAGGACCATCCGGAGACTCGCAACTGGAAGAAGCAGCGCGATCGACTGCACCGGTGGGTGAGAAATCGTGTGAGAAAGGACGCGTCAGGTAGAATGACCTGCATTTGGCTGGCCCGACCCGCTTGAGGTCCTTCCAGTTGGGTACTGGAGTGGGGTCCGTTCGTTCAGGTCACTAAGCCTCTCTGGATATTACCCACCGGCTCCCTTGTTCTTTCTCCTTCAGGTGGTGGAGCAAGGCATCGTGCCTCCGGTGGTGGAGGCGCCATGAGGTCGAATGAAGACCAGACGGCCCCGAATCCTGGAAGGAGGGGTCTGGGGGTTCTCACCCTTCTAGGTTTTGAGGGACCTGGAAAGGGCTGTTTTCACGGAGCGTCTGGGAAGTGCGAAACTTGGGGGGCCGAGACGAAAAACGAAAATCCGAATCCAACCTATAGTGACCGAATCCGTTGGATCTTCTATCTCGTTCTTTCTTTGTCCTCAGTTTTTGTTTCAACCGCAAGAAATCGAAGTCCAGGAGTCCGGATTCCTGGCGTTCACAAGATGAAGGATAGCTCACAGACGAAGCATACGGAGAATCCAGCGAAAATCCAGCCACGGAGCATGGCTGTCAGTTTGACCAATAGGCTAAGCAGACCAAAGACGCTGTCGGTGTCACCATGTTGTTTCATGTTGGTGTCACCAGCAATGTGTGGTTACTACCAAGAGAGGTATCCAGTGACCTGAACGTTCGGACCCGTCACCTGGGGTACCGAACTGGGATAGTCGAACGTTCGGGCAATGAAAAACCTTTGTTACTATGTTCTTCCAAGAAAGATCTTCATCCATGGATCCGTCCGCGCGGTAACGGGAGGTCCCTTAAAGTGAGAGCCGGACCCAGGTCTGATGTGGGGAACAGGTAGGTTCAGGTAGCTTATTGGCTGTCTTTTGGATCAAATTAGAATCCGTTGGAACTCCAGATCTTAGTATGACCATGACAAATACGCATGTTCCTTTTTCCAACTTCAAATCGATTAGATGGGCCATTTCTGGTACTTTGGGTCTTTTTCGTCTCTACCAATGTTATGCTCATGGAAGAACTCGAAAGATGTTGGTTGGAACAACAACGCAGCGCTGTAGGGCACAAGCTCTTTTTGCACGCCGTCGACGATGTGCAGGGCAACGGATGGGAGTAGAGGTGACAAAGGACTTCAATTCATGCAGTGCAGATTTGTTTTGCCAAAGCGAGCATGTGTGCGATTCGGTTTGTTTGTTGAATTCTTGAAAAGGGCTGCCAACTTGTATAATTGAAGGTCCAGGTGGATCATGTAGTTTGACCGTGGTTAATGCAGAAGTTGTTGAATGGGTCAGATTAACGCCCACGCATGCTTTGTTTTGTCTGCTTCCAATATACTGAGGCTCTTGGCATTCGCATCTTCTTGCCGCGCTCTCCAAAAGGATTGAAACATGTCCCCCAAGAAGCGCAGCCCCACAGCTGGCGTTGCCGGGACCGTTCTCCAATATATTGGACATGAATACACAAAATAGTGAGGTGGGGGCCTCCAGCCCACTCAGCTTTTGAGAACACCCACTTGGGATCCGCCAACGGTGTCCAGAAGGTTCACCGTGGTAGCCGGCAGCTTCAAGCAGATGCCACGTCTTCATCTCACAAAGCCAGATGGTCAAGTCGGAAAAGTCATCGAAAGAGAGAAAAGATTTTAATAAAGCTGGTACCAAACCTCCCCATGACTCCCCGTTCTAATTGTTTTCTGTTCCCATCCTCCTGCACGGCAACCCCTCCAGGCGAGCGTGGCGGAGCCCGAGCTCCGGATGTGACCGGCAACCGCGTCGGAGGGGAAACAGGCGTTGGCCCAAGGCTGGGCCCCCAGAAAAACATGCACAACAAGAGAAAGCGGATTCGTCATTGATACTTGCGCAAAGAGCATGCCAAAAGGGAAAAAAACATCGATCAATCATTCCTTGGCACTGTGACACTGGCTTCAGAGGTTCCATGGCGCGAGACAGACCAACGTGTCCTGAAAAGACGGGGGTTCATGTAAAGCACCCACGTCAGAAAGTTTGTGCTATCCATGGCAAGCTAATTCGTTGACCCAAAGGCCCAAAGGCTCATAGGCTCATGGTCAATCCACGCATTCTGATGGATCGATGGATCCGCGAGTAGAGGCAATGGGCAATGGGCGAGTAGTAGCAAAGCGGTCAAGCAAAAGGAAGCCCTCCAAAGGACGGGTGGTTTTTCTTTACAGCAACCGACCACTGTTGTTCTGGTACAGACCACAAACCTCTGATACGTATCACAGTTTCTCACAGACAACATACCCACACCATTGTTCTCATGGGTAAGGGCAGGGCCTTCGGTGCTTGAATCTGCTAGGGGAATTGTGGAAAACACATGTCAGTCCCTTCATCACGGTGTGTCATGAACAGTTCCTTTGACCTGAAGTCTTGGGGCCGGGCCTCTCAATTGGTTCCTCGTGGGCGTTTCTCGCCACGAGAAATTCGCGACCTCGGGATGAGCTGGGAGGACTGGCTGTACCCCACGGCCAGCTCTTTTGGATGTCTCGATCTACAGTTTTTTGTGCAATCCCGAAAGACCGCAGCCTGCAAGCCGGAGCCGTCCTGGTTGGGTCGAAGGGAGGGGGTGGTCGTTGTTCCCCCCTGAAAACTCCGGGGGCGGAAGTGGGGACAGGGACGTTCTGGTTTTGGGAGAGAAGTGGTTGTACCCGAGACGCAGCGAATGAATGACCTGAAGACCTCCGAAGAACGACTAATGAAGTTTTTAGACCACGCTGATGTAACCATCTGAAGACAAGGAATGATCTGAAGCCGGTCTTTGTGTCAGCCCCTTGTGTGGCCGGCCTTCGGGTTTCATCGATCTCTCCAGACAGAATCCCGTGTGGGTGCAAAGGCGTGGCATGTCCAGGACGCAAATCCCATATAAGAAAAGCAGGTGCAGACAGCTTGTGGATGCTTTCCTGCCATAGCTTGAGGTCTTAGTTTTCACCCTTAACTACCATATGATTTGTAGCTCTCCTATTTTCGTTTGATCCCAATGGACCAATGGATCTTTGGCATGTGGAAGAACCTCCTGGGGCGACCGAGTCGGTCATCGACCCTTGGGGCCGACCGTGTCGCTCACCGTTGGAAGCAAGCCCTGCTTGACCCGCAAGCCCTTTCGAGCAGTCGCAACCCCCAGGAGAAGGACACATGGCAAACTCCGACTGAAAAGAACCAGGTCGCAACAGAACCGCAGCCTTTTCGACCGAACTGTTGACCTTCCCCCACTTGGAGACGAGAGACGAAAGAACGTGCGTGGAGACGCCCAGTCGTTGGCGGACTCGCGAACGAGCACGTGATGCAGCGGCTTTTTCGTATTCATTTTGTGTCAAGAAGGAGTCCCTACGCCCAACCCGGAGGCGGTGGCGCCCCCCTGCCTGAGCAGTTGCGCGCCGTGCCCCAATTCCGCGCCGAGCATGGGCTGCCCAGTGATCGCCGAACGTCGAACGAGAAGGGGCGGTTGAAGGTCAAGGTGTGCCTTTCGAAAGCCAATTGATTTTCTAGAAAGTGCCGTTTATAGTTACTTATATTCTGTTGTATAAGCCTTTTGGAGAAAGGGATCAAAAATAGCTGCAGAGGAGGAAAGGAAAAGGAGAGAAAGGAGAGGGGTCTGCCAAATCGGTCAAAACCAGATCACCCAAAAAAAGCCTGAGACAGTCGCAGCTTGGCGTCTTTTGGTGCTCGTTGGACGGGTTGCAGGGTTCCTGCTCACTCGCCCTTGAGTCGAAACATTACACGGTTTTTCGGTGGGTCCAACAGCTCTACCAGTAACAAGAAGCTACGAACGTAGCTCGAGACACTGCGTCCAAAGAACTATCAGACGCTCCATGAAAACCAGCCAGACACCGGTCCCGAACCAAACCGATCGGAATTGGGTCGAAACCCCAGACCCCTCCTTCCAGGATTCGGGTCCGACCCCTGAGGCCGAATGGGTTTGGGTTGGGACAGATCTCATCAGAGAATGGTGGTGAAGGATGAGCATGGCACATGTCACCCAGACAGAGGCCCCACCAGGCTGCTGGGCAGCACACAGCTGGCAAGCCAGCACATCGGAGACCAACCAAAGTGTCCAAAACATGTGCCATTCGAAAGGTCGTCGGTGTTTGAGTGGAAGACTGCAGCCATTCTCAGTCTCACTGGCAAGGAATATACCGCGCAGCAAAGAACTGGACAGATGCTGAATTCCTGATGCGTGAACATTAGAATCAACTCATTCAGGAAGTCACAAACCGTCACCTTCTCAAAAAAATGCAGGGACGTCAGCATGAAACAATTCCAAAATTGTTCCAGTCTTGACATACTGCAGCGCACAGAGAGAGAGAGAGAGAGTGTAGTCATGGTGCTGAAGTGCATAGTTTGCAGAAGGTTTTGATTGTCTTGTCACTTCCGAAGCCCCTGCGTTTGATGCTTCAGTCGCATCGAAAGAAGAGGCGTTATTTGCTACGCGTACTTGTGGTTTTGCTGCTCTTGGTGGTGTCTCAGCAGAAGTTCGATTTCAGGAGAGTTTGAAGGTTTCCGTTTGGCGTTCGAGTTTGGATCCACCACCCTCTACACCAGGGGAGTTGGAGTTCGGTCCTTCTGTTTCGGTCGAAGGAAGCAAACCGACATAGCTATGGTAAGGTCTATGAACACCTTGCAGAGAAGAATCAGACCCTCATTGGCCATGCTGTGACTGGAAGGTGACCATTTCCGGTCCAAGCGATTGGAATCTTCTCAAGTAAGGGTGTATTGGAAATGGCTTGAAAGACTCTCCCGTCACCCGCTGGATTCTCTGACACCATTTGCTTTGGACACCATGTCTGCAGTCTGATGTTAGTTACACGAGCTGTGGGTCTTCGGGCTATACTCGCTCTGAGACAAACATGGACGCTTTCCTATTTCAGTTGACCAGAGAGTAAAAGGCTCACAACTTGGATGCCAGGTGATGCAACATTATGTCTATGTATTTCCTACTCTTCCCAACTCTTAGTACCTGAAGGGCCATCCTTCTCATCGTTTTGTGTGGGCCAGCCTTCTGCGGACAGACACAGACAGAAACCCCCGGCACGCTGCACCCAGCACTCTGGTCATCCCTAGAAGGTCGCTGGTCTGGTGGGCGAAAATCAACAGACGTCGGGACCAACTGGTCTGGTGAACGAGATCCCGTGCATGTTTTTGTCGTAGATACGTCCGAGATTGCAAGGCTTCACAACTCTTTTCTGAAGAGTTTCCAACAGAGGTTGAAGGACCCGAACTAGACTATCCCATAGGTATCCCAGTAAGGTCCTATAAGGTCACTGAACCTCTCTTGGTTCGGTGGGAGAAAAAAGGATAACGATTCGGCCAATCTCTATTGTGAGACATAGCTACCAATGTGAAGCAGTGGAGGGCGAAAACCTAGCGAAGCGGTGGATGGGCTTTCGACTCGATCTAGAGTCGATGGTCCCTCCTTCTTCTACCTACATTGGGGTAGTTGAAAAGTGGTGAATGTATGTAAGTATGCCAGTCCAATGGAGCGTTTGGGTTGGAATTCCCCATTGAAACGGGGGGAACCCCCAGTCTCCAGCGAAAGAAGGTGCCCACCCCAAGCTTCAGCGATTTCAACGACTTCTTTGGTTTAATGGGTCGTCTTCTAGGACTAGGACGGGGCCCGGTCTTATTGGGAGGGTCACATAGCCAAAGCGCGCCGACATCACCGGCCCGGTCCGTCTCCGACCTCAACGACGTACATGGGCGTCCGACCACATCCGCAAGAGAAGGTTCTTGATGAGAATCCTATCATCCCAATAAACCCTTCAACATAAGAGCCTTGTTCGTTTGCTACTACGTTGGGAGGCCATCGCTGAGAGCCTTCAGCCAAAACCGACCCAAGGCGTGCGACGTGGTTTCAGCGGGTGGCTTCATGGGGCGCTTCCTGTGCTTCCACGGCAAGGGTCGCTTGGGCGTGTGTTTCTCCCGGATCTGGTGTCGGCTTCGGCGACCTGAAATCAGAGTAGCGCCATGCTCCGATCTGGAGGGGAAGATGTTTTTTTCCGAAGAGGTACCATTTTAGATGATGTTGTGCTCTGGTCGCTGGTCGATCTTGTGGATCTGGGATCTTGGTGTCCCAGCTACGCAGCCCGGGGATCCTCCCTGAAGTCCGCATCCGAACCGTTTTTCAACGGGCCGATGGTTTCAGGCGTTTGTTCCCTAATGTCCTCAAGCTCCTCATATGTCCTTGTGGAATTTCCGAATCTGTCCCATAAGTCACCATCAGTTGGTGAAGCTGTATCACTGTATCAGCTTACAAATCATCTATCGTTCAATTCATTTCCTTCACCCATCCATTCGATTGAATGAAATGGAAATGCAATTCCAGCATGCATTTCATTCACAATCCATACACTAGATGCTTTCCCCCCGGGTCTGAACATCTCAGGCAGTTCGGGCGCTCTCTTACGTGAGCGGCTCTCACCCCTGGCGAGGGAGGTGGACTTGGCGCCCTGGAGCTGACCGGTCGAACATGGGTCTATATGACTGTGGACGAAGCACGAGGGAGCTAGTCTTCCAGTTTGATGTGCATTTTTCCCGGGTTTGTTTGGGTCTTTTTGGGGAGACCGAAACTCGGGCAACTGTCCATGGAGCTGCGAACTGGCGTTTGCTGATTCCTTGCAGTTATTTGAGGGTGTGTGTGTGTATATATATATATATGTTTAAGAATTTCTTCTTCACGGCGTCTGTAGATGTTCATATGAAGGGTTCCATATGTACGGTTCCAAAAAAAACATTTGCACATTGTACCGTGGTGGTGCAAGGTCGTACTGTTCTACTCTGTAGAACACTGTTGCTGTAGCTTGGTGAACTGCCTGAACTGCCCTAACGCAAGCGTTGAACAACGACGGCTGCAGCCGCCCGCCGTCCTTGGTGTCCTTCTTCTTTCCCTTTATTCGTGGTATCTCCCTGCAGTGAACGGGGTGAACTTCAAGTGAAACACGAACGACTTTTTTGGGTGGGCGCCCTTTGTGAGTTTGGAGACGACGAGCTTGAACCAGCTGAGCTTGAAAAGGGAGTGAGAATAGCAATGGCCTCCTACCTACTAGTAAGAGGAACCTACTAGCGATGGCCTCCTATCTACAAGAATTTGGTGGTGCAGAGGCGTCCAAATCCACAGTCACATCATGAGTCATGAGAGTCACTCTGATAGTCATGCAAGACTGCAAGACTCCAAGAAAAAACACTTGCCGCATTGGAGAAAAGGATAATTTACATGATAGGAATCAGTGGTTCCAAAGACTGTGGGGGCAGTTTCCTTGGACACTTGGAGCCATGGCCTGATGAAGATGGTCCCCACTGGCGAGGCTGTCCAACTATATAAAAACCTGTCCTTTCAGTGAGGTGTATAGAACTCGCCACCATCGGTCGTCATCGGTCGTCCCACACTCGCGACGGAGGTTTGTGTGGATGCTCCACATCGCTTGGGCGATGGCTATGCACCGAGTCGGAATTGTAGGATGGGGTGCTTTTGACCGGCCCCAACAAGTGTTCAACCGGCAATGGACATCATGGATACTGTTCTCAACAGAACAAATTATACCAGCATAGACCCCAAACAGTTTCAAAAGGATTCGTTTGGACCAATGTTAGTCAAAAACGATATCCTATTTGAGCATACATATATATATATATATACGTCACACGTATTTTCATTTTGTTTGAGCTTCATTGGCGTCTTGTTCAAGTACTGTAGAGTGTTGATAAATAGAAGCCCCCCCTTTTGATTTGTAAGATTTCTCCAAATGAGGGGTTCTTGTCTTGCGCACCGAACGGCGAAGTCTTCACAGTCTGCATAAGGACCTTGCACGGTTTCAAAGCCGCTCAGTTGGTATCACGGAAGCGGTGTCTTAGATATATACTCAGTACATGTAGCTAGTTGCATGATATCGATTGATCTATGTAAAGATGTTTGAATATCCCTTCAGGCACACTCCACTTGACAGGCGGTTGATCGACCGGCCTTTGTCCCTTCGCTTTCTGGCACCGTTTGGGGTTACCATCGTCCTCAACCTGGGCTGGACATCCACAGAATCTCCGTGAACCTTGCGAATCGCTGATAGTACGGTAGCAGAAGCGGCTGAGCGCCACAAAGCTCCTCCTCTCCAATCCATCCTCCATTCCCCCCGAGATCGAAGACACGCCCTCCCAAGCTGACAGGGATGTCACACCCCAAGACCATGGTCCAAAGATGTGTGTTCTTGTTCAGACTCCGAGCTGCTTCTTCTTGCAAAAACACGATAGGAGGCATGTGATGGTGGTGAACCACGGTGCTTTCATGTGCCACAAGCTTCACAGACATGGCGGGACTCCACGACCGTTCACCGAGACCAGGCCTGGTGGCATTTGCCGCCCGGGGAGCGTTCCTTTACCACCCCAGTCTTTGTGCCGCGGCCGGGAAGGTTGTTCGGTGGGAAGACGAAATCTTCGCTGGGCCGAGATGAAGATCGAAAGGAAGTGGAGCGAACGTGAAGCTGAGGGTGCTCCCATATCTATATCTGTCTCAATATCTATAGCTGTTTTCTCATGTGTTTACTGGGTCTTCCACCTTGAAGGACGAATTCCTCAAGCAGCGGCCACCCGGGTTCCAACCTAAGGGTGATGGCCTCCAACCTAAGAGCGATGACCTCCAACCTATAAGATGGCCTCCAACCTAAGAGCGATGGCCTCCAACCTGATACGTAGCGATGGCCTTCAACCTAGGGGCGATGGCCTCCAACCTAAGAGCGATGGCCTCCAACTTTGGCTCGATGGCCTCCAACCTAAGGGCGATGGCCTCCAACCTAAGAGCGATGGCCTCCGACCTCATAGCGATTGTGTAGTTCTCCCCTTAGGCCGCGGTGTGGCGACTTCCGCCATCCTGTTGAGCGTAGCATATTTGGATGCCCCATTTGACTTTGCGGCAGATCCGACCCGAAGCGGCCACTGGCCTCAGCCATGAATGTGCAATTTCTGGCTGCAGCAGCGCCCATGACCTATTTGCCACTTTTTGCCCATGTTGATTTACAGGGCAAACTCCTGTTAACTCCTATTTCGACCACCAACTACAGCCGTGAAGACCCAGGAGGGTCAATGCCAATGGAGAAGTGGAGAACTATTCGTCCAGACAGCGCTGCTGGTTGTCTGGCCTTGAGGCTTGCACTTGCCGGTTACCAAACGGAGGCAACAAAACAAACAAACAAACTTCACAAGAGATGACTGTTGCTTCGTCGGCCAGAAGAACGCCCGAAACAAGCTGCGAAAGCGCGGCAGACAGCAGCTGAAAGCAGCTGAGGAGTGACGGAATCGGGAGAAGACATCCAGGGAAGTGTTTGCTTGAAAGAACAGCTGTAGACGCGCTTGGGATTTAGGCCTACAAATCACCAATCAAAAGCTCATTTACATACTGTAAAAGAAACGAGCTGCTTTGCTGATAAGGGTCCCGGTATTGCTCTGGACCCACATGTAGAACTTGACCAGCAAAGTTTGCTCCATCGCTCTGGCACGCGAGGCCTTCACTATTCCTCATCAGGTTGAATCACAAAGCCAAAACTTAGTAGACACTAGTATACACTAGTTATTTTGTGTTGAATGGTTTGCATATGAAAAACTGCATCCAGAGGACGGATCAGATTTCCATTCAAGGCTTCATCGCGGAATGTATGATAGAAGCACGGATTGTAGCCTAATTGCATTGGGAAGGTGCATTGAGGGACATGCAAATCATGAAACTGAACCAACTGCGCCCAAAATTTAAGCTAGAAACATTCCACATATGCAAAGTGGGCCAGTTCCATCCAGGCCTCAAGGTCAAGGAAGGTGTTCCAACACTGAACTCATCCAATTACAGTAGTTTCAGAAACATGCTAAACCTCAGACGATGGCCAAGACTACTTGCAGTCGAGGCGCATGAAGTTGTGCTCGCGAAGGAAACAGACTCAAGGAATTGGCACATGCCCAAGTGGCCACCTCATGTGCTGGCCGGATCCTAAGTCTAACTTGCGGGCCTGTTACACTTGTCTCCCTCCTTGTTACCCTTCTCTCCACTTGTCTCGGCCTACTCTGGATACGCTTGGCCGTATGTTTTTACACTTGTCTCTTCTTGCCTCTTTGCGAGCTCCCTGCTCAGACACTCTTGGCCAAGTTGTTTCATGTACGCTTGTCTCCCACTTGTCTCCCTGCTTGTTACACTTGTCTCCTCTTGCCTCAGGCTACTCTGGAAACACTTGGCCGGAGTTGTCTCTTGCTTGTCTCCTCATCACATACTCTTGGCCTTGGCCGGATCTTCGCTTGTCTCTTTGCTCTGGGCTGAAAGCTTTTAACCCAACACAGCATGATAAAGCCATATTGTCAGTACAACTCAGCAATAGACTAGCGTATGTTCTGTTTTCGTCTGAATTGTTGGTCCGACTTTGAGCCAGTTGAGCAAAGCGCTGGAACAAACCCAGAAGGTCCGAGTTGATCACCGGGAGCTGGAGCGGTTTGAGCCGTTGACTGTTTGACAGTTCGTCTCTGGCTTACTTCTAAAGGCACAAGCTGTTTGAGGTCTAGGCTGGCAAAATCTCTCTAAGCGTTTTTTCTTTCGCAAGACGTCCCGTTTTGACCTGCCGCAATCAAACACGACCTTCTGCCGGTAGGAGGGCGGCGCATAGGCGGGATGGGGCGGTGGTTGCGGCGGGTGGCGCGGGTTGGGCGGTGGAGTTTCATTTGGCATGTGTGCAGCCAGAGTATATCTATAGAAATGAGAAGAAGTGGAGAGTGCGCCTGAGTAAGGGCCCATTTCGAGCCTGATCGCGCCCCCCCGCCCCAATTGGTTGTGAACAGGTGTCGGAAAGCAGAAGAGGAAGGACATCGGCAGGTTTGCGACACAGTCAGAAGCCGAGAACAAGATGCACAAAGTTTTGGAGGAACAGTCGAAGGCCTTAAAAAAAGAAACAGGGAAAATGACCAAATGTATTTGTTGCCACAGGTTGACGCAGAGGACTCTCCACAAATTGAACCACACCCAAAGCCTGGGCGGCGCATTCATCGTCCACTGCCACCGCGCACCTCGCGGCGCGTTTGGTTTTGCAATGTCAGGATCGACGAGCTGCGCCAGCAATTGGCCGCCGTCGTGATCTGCATGGACTTGACAAAGGGGGACCATGGTATGCTCTACTAGATACTTTGTGATTTTCGTGCATGTTGAGCTTCTGACTGTGAACAGATCAACCAGGGCTAGATTTGCCCAAGAATTGAAAGCCGGAATTGTTGCCCAGCTGAGCCAGTTGAAGGCATTACTCACTGTGTGGATATCTGTATATGTATGTATGTATATATATATAGGTTTGCGTGCGCAGGTTCCCCTTGCAAGCGCTGGCTCCTTAACTACACTTGACAAGGTGTACCCCCACAATCAAGAATCACTCGGCACGCAGCTTCAATGGGCGCAAGACCTAATGACCTCATGGAGTGAAATGGACCACTCACAAGGCAAGAAGTGCACTGTTGCAAGGAGTAGGCTGAAAGCTGCATGTATTGTTTGAGAAAGCGAAAGGCTGCCGCCGCGACCGGTGAAAGCACCGGAAACACCCTCTTCATCAGCCAGCCCAGAACACGCCACAAGTGACGAAGAGGGGAAGTGAGCCCCCAAGGGGGCTTGCGGTGGACCGAGGGGTGTGTCAAGTTGTCGTCATGCAATAAGAGAACTACACTCTCTAACACAAGTGCAAACAGATCAATTTCTTTGGGCTCATCCACTTCAGCTGATGTTAACATGAGTGGTTGTTTGGTTCTGCGTTCCGCTGTGAACACAGTTCCCGTTCTTGGTTGTTTGTTTTCTTTCATTAGACTATCCAAGTTGAACTTGTTGTGTTAAGTCCTTTTTGGTTTTGCTTTTTGGTGGCGTGTGCTCGTGTCATTGCGACGCGAACACCGCACCATATCCACACACGCGCGCCCAGACAGCCCTGCTGATTGTCTGGCCTTGCGACTTGCACTTGCGCCCCAAAGCACCCTTGCCTCTAGATGTAACAGGGTTCTTGCACACACGCGTCCAGACTGCCCTGCTGGTTGTCTGGCCTTGCGACTTGCACTTGCGCCCCAAGGCGCCCTTGACTCTAGATGCAAAAGGGTTCTTGCACACACGTGTCCAGACAGCCGTGCTGGTTAGGCAAAGACCCGCGGCTGCTCAGGAGCGTTGGAGGACATGCTGACACAGGTGAAGGGATGGTGCAATTCAAAAGTTCCGCTCTCTGAGCAAGCCCTCGCTGGACAAGAATCAGCCGTGGCGATTGCAAGTGGGTATGAGAACAGACAAGCTATTTCGACTCCTGGCCAACAGGCAACTTGAGCCTTTGGCAGATAGCTGGGATTCAGGTCAAAGCAACACTCTCAGCGGATCTCTCCACTTGGTCACAAGATCCGGGATATGTTGCAGCAGATGTAACCGGCCTTGAGGAGGGGCAGTTGGATTGCTCGGTGACTTCTGGACAACCCTTCAAATCACTGCTAGGTGAATGCCTCATGGATGAGCCTGCGCCGGAAACACTTCCAGCCCTCGCAGGGGCTTCAAGACGGGCTCACAGCTATGATGCACAAGGCATCCTCTTCCATGCTGATCTTGGGGATTGAACAGTTTGGGCATCTTTTTGATTTGTGGGGTGGTGACATCCAGTGTGATGCGGTTGAGTTCGCTGCCTACCTGCTCACCAAGCTTGACCAGGACTTGGTATAGCCTTTGGGAACGGCGGTACCAACGCCAAAATGGCCAGGTGAAAAAGTATGCACCTGAGCTTGTGGCCACTGCGTTGAGGCTTTCAGTCATGCCCCATCGTGATTGCACTCTCGTTCAACTGCTGGAACACTGGCAGCATGACTCAGGGATGGTTGCAGCCTGCTCACATGCCTTCTGTGCTGTGTGTTCAGCTTGATCGTCTTCGCCCGATCACAGGGACTCGCGTCTCCATTGACAGGTACCAAAGTTCTCAGGTGGGGGCACCAACACCGAGCTCCATGCCTTTCTGGTGGCTGCAGCTTTTGCTCATCTTGGCCAGCCGGGAGCACGCCATTACCGTGCAGCTCTTCGCAAGCGCGGCCCCGGGAAGCAAAGTGAGTGGTTGGATTGTGAAGATGGAACCCCCTCGGTGCCCATGGCATCGCTGCCGGGATGGTTCGAGACTCAAGTCACTTTGATTTGGGCCGTGCAGATTTCTGAGATGTGTCGACTCACAGCCTCCAACCTAAGAGAGAACAGGCCTCCAACCAAATAGCGATGGCCTCGAACCTAAGAGCGATGGCCTCCAACCTAAGAGCGATGGCCTCCAACCAATTTAAAGAACGAACCTAAGAGCAATGGCCTCCAACCAAAGAGTCATGGCCTCCAACTTTCACTCAATGGCCTCCAACCTGAGAGCGATGGCCTGCAACCTGAGAGAGATGGCCTCCAACCTAAGAGGGATGACGTCTAACCTAACAGCGATGGCCTCCAACCTAACCTGAGAGCCATGGTCTTCAACCTGATAGCGATGGCCTTCAACCTATGCCTAAGAGCCATGGCCTCCAACCTAATACTAAGCAAAATGCCCTCCAACCTAGTAGCGATGGCCGCCAACCTAATAGCGATGGCCTCCAACCTGAGAGTGATGGCCTCCAACCTAAGAGCGGTGGCCTCCAACCTAAGAGCGATGGCCTCCAACCTAAGAGCGATGGCCTCCAACCTAATAGTGATGGCCTTCAACCTAATAGCGATGGCCTCCAACCTAAGAGCGGTGGTCTCCAACCTAAGAGCGATGGTCACCAAACCCAATAGCGGTGGCCTCCAACCTACAAAGAGCGATGGCCGCCAAACTAATAGCGATGGCCTCCAACCTAATAGCGATGGCCTCCAACCTAAGAGCGGTGGCCTCCAACCTAAGAGCGATGGCTGCCAACCTAATAGCGATGGCCTCCAACCTAAGAGCTGTGGCGACCAAGGATGGCTGGGCTGAGACCGTGGAGTATGTCCGCAAAGTTTGGGCCGAGCAGGGCCCTTTTGATGGTATGCTGGGCTTCTCCCAAGGCCATTTTTCTGAAGTAGGTGGAAGGACTGATCGATATGAAGTACCGATATATATATATATTTAGTATTTGATGCCTTCCTCCTTTCTACTTTGAGTTTATGTGTCGCTGTGGCATTCTTCATAGTTCGTCCTTGGAACTCACTTGAAGTACACTCAGTTCTGCAAGGCTCAGCTTTCATGTAGGAGAACTTTGACGAACGCACAGTGGAACACGCGACTAGGACCAGGTCGGCTTTTCGCCGACGCTACCCCTAGAACCTGAGTGATCTCTATTTTGGTTCACCCAACATACAGTGGTTTCAGAGTAGATGGCCCAAACCCCAAAACGTGCTTTGTAAAGCCATCTACTCTGAAACCACTGCAATTGAAATTTTCCTGGTCAAAACTGGGATCATGTCTGGGTTCTCGGTCGGTATATCAGATATAAAGACGGTGTTCAGATCATATAGTTGGACATCTTGGACGAATTCATTTCTGCCGGTGTGGGCTTCTGTGGAATGCTACTGGTGTTGATGCGGGTTGTGTTGAGCACATGACGGCTTGCTGTTGCCTTTGAGGTACTCTTGAAAAAGGTGTGTGTTTTGATTCTGAAACTTGTTCCCTCCTTCAACACCTCACTGCACCAAAGCCACCCAACCAGTGGTTCGCTCAAGGTACCTCAAAAGGAGAATTGACGATTCAAAGGCCGCTGTGCCCAGGCGCAATTCTGATCGCTGCACTGGTGGCTTTGGGCGAGCTGCGTCCTGGGCAGCCGCTGGCGCCTTGGTGTATTTTTGAGCGGCAAGCCTGCTCGAATTTCCCAAGCCAGGATCGCTCACAGCTAAAATGTAGACCTCCCAGCCAAACGGTTGAAGGAGTCTCAAGAGCATGAACCTCACCAAAAGAATTCGCAGGGAGTTGGTAGGGGTCGTGGTGGTGATGGTGGTGATGGTGGTCGTGGTGGTGGTGGTGATGGTGGTGGTGGTGGTGACGGTGGTGACGGTGGTGGTGGTTGTCGTGGTGGTGGTGGTGATGATTTGATAACACTAAATAACACTAAAAATAAACAAAACAACACCCTCGACAGGAAAAAAAGAAAACGTATGGGCTGGGAATGCGTTGAAGAAAACTGTTCAATTAATTCCCTCCCTCTTTGTAACTTAAAATGCAACATGATCAACTGCAAAGAAATTTGGAAATTATCTTAGAAAAAGACATGGTAAAGAAATGAAGATCAAAGAACCTAAAGAGCACCCCAGCGTTCAAAAGCGCCATCCAATTTGAAGCGGAAGCGGGGCAGAATGCGCCATCCGGCAGAACACCCGGAGCACTCTTCCAACGATCCAGGTCTCGCAAGTTCGAATCTGAAACAGGTGACGAAGAAGAAGCGGGGCGAGACTCGGAGTAAAACCATCCTCGCTGTGCCATCCCAATTCCACGTCGCACCCGAAAGGTGAGTGGCCAGAGCATCACGAAGAAAAATGAACGGAAAACCCCAATCAGTCACTCAAGAGCCACCTTTTGCACGAAACGCGTTTGCTTCTGCGTCTTCAACCACCCCCCACCCCAGGCCTCATGTCGTCGCTTGGTGCTCTGTGGCGCTGCCTTGCCGGGGCCGTGCCTTGATCGTGTTGGGGCGATGATCGAAACAGTGAAGGGTCGAAGCACACGGCGCCTGGATGGGACTTGAATCATCAAAACCCACCCCGACTGGTGACTCCTGGAATGCAACTTTTGCATGTCACATACTGTCTGACAGTATGTTGGTTTCAGGCCACTGGATGCCAGACATCATCAATTTGCTTGCGTACATCAGCTCTACCCAAGAAGACTGACAGAACGCCCAGTAGGTTGCGAGTTGTGTGATCCATCCCACAAACCTTCATCTTGCAGCAACTTGGTGTCTTGGGAATCAAGATCTGAAATGGCGGCAGCATTGGGGTGTCGCGATGTGTTCAGCAACGTGCCGGGCACGTAATGCTGCCCTTCCGGCACCGTCCCACCCGAATGGCCAGAGAACGAGCGACCCCCCTCTCCGCGAGACACGCCATTAGACGTGGCTACATTGGAACTGCACCCAACAAAGGAAGGAAGATTTAATTTAGTTACTTTAGTTTGCTAGTAAGAACAAAGGGCATCGCTACTAGGAGCAAGGACGCTACTAGGGGCTCCTGGCCTTACTACTAGGAGCAAGGACACTACGAACGGGGCTACTAGGTCTAATATAGTTTGCTAGCAGGATGGAGGCCATAGCCAGCAGAAACAAAGAAAAAGGTTGACCGGGAAGGAAGCCTCCCACCGTCTCGTCTCAGCCGCGAAAAAACACCGCCAGGTTCCGCTCTGAGTTGGCAGATTTGCGTGCAAAGCCTTGCAACCTGGCTGATTAAGAGGAAACGGGAAGCACCACGGACGCGTGGATTTGGCCGTTTGGCATGAAACATCCGATGACGTTTTGAGTTTTCACACCGGGAAGAATTGTAAGGGACTTTGGGATGTGTGCCGATCCCGTTTTTCGTTGGTGCATTGCAGCCTCCTTTGTTTCTGGAATATGTGCATGTGGCATGAGTTGCATCCGATCCCAGTTTGGCCCTTCGATGAGGCGGACCCGATATCTTTTGATCAAATCTGGTGCAATTGATCTATGTATCTTCACCAACCAGACCCGAGAAATTCGCAGGGCTTGCTTTGAAAACCAGCGTCTGCTCCCCCCAAAAGCGGGGTTTGGGTTCTGGGCGCCTGAAAAGCTGGACCAGTTGCGCACACCCACACCACTAAAATGTCAGAGGGACACTGAAGGGTTCAACCCATGTTTTCATTTTCACGGGTTGTCACGAGTTGTTTTGACAGGATTCGGCACGGGTTTTGTCATGGGTTTGGCCAAACACGGGGTCTCCCTAAACCTAGGCGTTAGGGATTCAATCCCAGGCTTTCGATTGGTCAAGCAGGTCTGTCTTCCAGAAAGACTTGACCCTGCTTTTTCCAGTTATGTTGATTCAAAACACTTGGCCATACTCTGGGAATTCTAGTTTCTCGGGACACCCGGGGTTTGCAATGGAAACGCTTTGTTTGGAGCATGTAAGCAGTGTGTTTCACGAGGTTTAACATGCACACCCCACAAAAAGGTAAGGGTTTAGTTGTTCAGGGTAAGTCTACAAGCTGTCAAGGTCGGCTTATACAAGTTCTGAAACTTGTTCTGCTGATGCATCGCTGAACCCTCTAGACATGGACATGAATGAACAGTATGGCTTCCAAAACAAGTGCGGTTTCGGAACTTTCAACCAAAACACCAAAAGAAGAACATCTCTTGCTCCATCCAAGACCCAAAATCGGGGTGGTAAATGGATCACCCCCTACCCTTTGTTCCGGGCTTCTTCAGACCGCGACCACCGCGACCACGCGACCTTCTAGGCCATGGCATCTCAGCGCTCCACACCATCGGTCGCCAGGATGACATCAACCCACCGGAGCAGGCGCGCGAGGCGGGGGATCTTCCAACCGCCGTCGGGATCGGTCGCCCCGGTCTCTGCTGGGGGAGCGGTCGGAGAAGGACGGAGCTTTCGCATCGGTAGCCTCAAGGGTGTTGATTCGCGTTAGGAAAGCTTTTCGGGAAGCAGGGCCTGCAGTCCAATGTCACAAGGTATGACTGAGCAGTACGTACCAGGACACCCGGACCAGGGGCTTCGTTCTTGATAGCCCCTTAGATGTGATTCGGGGTGTCCATTAACCACCCCGACCGTGGGTCCTGGTATTTGAGAAAGATTGTATTTTCATATCCAAAACAGGCACCTGACTTGGCGACGGCGTGCTGCGCCGTCGCCGAAGTCCCATCGACTTGTTCAAAAAATAGCTGCCGGATGAAGGCCCGTGGAGTGAAAAACATGCACCCAAGACACCGGAGGTGAGGTTGATATAGGTTGATCAGGGTGGCAGAATGTGCAAGGCTATCACTTAACCATCCCCACTTACTGCTAGTCGCAACGACGAATTTGGAAAGAAGTGAAGAAAGCCACAACTCGTATTTTAGATCATGAACTCGTTGGTTCATGAGTCATTGGTCTATTTCTTACATGTGGATTGGGCGAGTGCCATGGTGCTGCTTCTGACCTGCCAGGTGGCGGCGGCTGTCGGGGGGGAGATCTTTGAGTTTGAGGGCACGCACGAGGTGCCCATGGACGAGGCTGGAACAGCAAATCAAGGGGATCTGTAACAATCAGTAAACAATCAGTTGCTATTTTTGAATAAGGCCTGCAACTGAACCATCATCATCCACTTGACCCAAATCCATGATTATGATGATGTTCTATGTGTTTCTGGAGCTCACGAAAACTGGATCGATTTTTGGGTCGGAGTGCACCAATCGCTGAACTCAGATGCCTCAGCCCCAACATATCCTTCGGATCTTAAGAAGGATGGTGAGCGCGGCCGTCGCCAGGCGGCCATGAGCGCTTATCGCCGCTTGCTGGGTGCATAAGGAGAAAAGAAAGAGGGGCAATGCCGCCGTGCCGGTGGGAGTTTCCGAGGAGAGAGGTTTGAGAGTTGAAAAGCTGTCAAGTTTCCAGAAAGCAGCTGGGAAACTGTGGCCCGGGCCCCAATTCGAATTCAAGCTAACTGCAGCTTGGTATACTTGGTTTACTTGGTCTCTTTGCCTTCAGCTTTGAATCTTCTTCTGAGACTTCCTCTTGCCATCGTCACCGTCGATCTCACCGTTTCTGAGGCTCTGAAACGGGGCCCGAAGAAACCTCGGGACGCTCCGCTCCACTCCGCGGCGGACGCGGACCGACGCTCCGCTCCACTCCGACGTCAGGAGGAGCGGCGCTCTACGTCTATCGACATGTTCAGTGGGGATCGACGAAGTTCTATCTACTTGGGGGGTCTCTGTCAAAGGCCAGCCCCTTACTCGTAGCGTCCGATCGCGAACGGTTCGTAGCGATGCCCGAAATGCTCCGTTCGTAGCGTCTTGATACTAGTAGACTTCTCTCTCAAAAATCCCCCCTTGTTTAGCGTCGCAGCGGAGTGTCCAGGCCAGCTACTTGTACAGATTGGGGAGGTGCTTCAACCGTTGCTTGGGGCCCGAGTGGAAGTGCAACAGTTTTGCGTTGCGACCGGGGATTTGTTTGCCATATGTCCTTTTGGGGACATGACATGAACCAGAAAACACAGGTGTAGCTTTTCCACTCAGCAAGCCCGATCCTCAATGGAGATCCTATTGGAGCGAATCATGCCGGAGTTCAACGGAACGTCCACGCCCAAAGACAGCCGACGCGCTCGTATGCGGTCCGCGCTCAGCCGACGCGCTTGCGAAGGAAAAAGAGACGCTGGCGGTTCCCTTCGTCGATGAGTGCGACGGATTCCTTGAAATTCAATGTCCTACAAAGGCCACTCAAAGATTGCACTCCGTTGTTTTTTGACTAAGGAGCAAGTCCCCATTGTGAGGCTGTTTTCAGGTTGAATGGATGGGGTGTTCAAGTTGAAGGCTTCCGGGATCCCTCAAAAAGCCCATGCAATAGGTAGACGAGTCGACAACCCCCACCCACACGCACACACATGGCGTTCATCGATCATTCGGAAAGGCCGGTCATTCAAGGTCCAAAGGAAAAGCAGCAGCAAATGGTAATCCCTTTTTTGGGGGCCCGCTCCCCCCCCAACTTAATTAAGTAGGCACCTACTTAATTAAGTAAGGGAGTAAGCTTCTAGCTGAGGGCGAGGCAAGCTTCCTTGAAGAAGCGCTCGCACTAATGATTTGGTTCCTAGGTGTTTTGGGAAATCTTTGTAGCGATCGCCTCCAACCTACTAGCGATAGCCTCCAACCTACTAGCAATGGCCTCCTAGTAGCGTCCTTGCTCCTAGTAGCGATGCCCTTTGCTACCGGTAGCGTCCTTGTCTAAAAGCCAATGGTGCTTCTTTGCTTGGATAAAGTTCATTTCCACGATCGCCCTGATTCCTTCGGAAGCATTTCAGCGACGATCGGGGGGTCGGAAACATGCATCTGCTCAAGCTCGAGTAGCGTTCGAATCAAGAGCACCATGAAGCCTTGGAATGTTTTTGAGTCAGAAACTCGTGCTAACGACATTGAGCGACGGGCGACGTGTACACCCAGAAGTTGTTTTGCCTTTCAAGAGTTCACCCTGACTGAAATGGATGCAACGGAGTTTCTGCCAACATCAAGTGCAAAACGGAAATCATGGGCATTTGCCTGTAGGAATGAGTTCTCATGAAAAAGCAACTCAGAAAGCCCCCAAAAAAAGAACCTTGGTGTCGCTGACAAGTCCATGTCACAGAGAACTAATCAGAACCACGTTTTTTGTGCTAACACACCACCACCCCTTTTGCTGTTCGCTGTCGCCTCGTGAAAACCACGTCAAGCACATTTGAACTGCTTTCGTTTTAAGACCTTTCGTCAACCCAACGGCGTGGTCCCATGCCGCACAGACCTGTTTGACACGTGGAGAGGCTTTCTCCAAGAAGCGTTCTGTTGTCCCTTGAGCTGGTCGAGAAGAGCACGAATCTGTTGGGAGAACATGGGAGAACGGCGAGTTGTTTGACATGGAATCCTCTCATGTTTGGACTCTTTGGTGTTCTCTTCCAAGTCTTCGGTTTCTTTCTTGTCATTTCTTCCCTCGTTCTTCAGCGAAGCTCCGTCGTCCTTTCCGGCCCGTTTCCCGCCAGGTGCCGCGACTTGGCTCCGATCCTGGGCGATGTGCTGCGGAAGCGCCGCTGTCGCTCGGTGGGTCATTTCGGGATTTGGGGAAGAGAAGAGAGGGGCCGCCCACTGTGGGGGGCCCCTTGAACGCTTTTTTTTGGGGGGGGGGTGAGGGGTAAGTCGTTTTGAAGAAGAGATCAGAGGCACCCCAAATGTTCGAGCTCGTACCGCCTTGTCTCGCGTCCGGGGTCTGCATCCGATGGATCCATGGGCCCAAGCTCCCAGAAGCCCGAAGAGCCCTAAGCCCTAATTTTACGAGTAACAAGTGCATCGCTTCTAGTAACAAGTGCCTTACTAGTAGTAACAAGAAGCTATTAGAAGTAATTACACTTAATTACACTTAATTCTAATTAAATTATTGTACTAGAACTTGCAAGAAAAGTGGGACAATGGTTCAGCCGTCAGGTTGCGAACACGTTGTCTACAGGTTGGTCTTCTGTGCCGAAAGGATGAAGGTTCCCACCGGACCAAAATGAATCAACCCAGACGCTCCATGTATGCCATATATGCCTACATTGGGGTGGTTTTGGGGGGTCAATGTAGGCATACATGGCATACATGGAATGTTTGGGCAAGTACGGGAACTCATGATAAGTTTTGAGCCCATCTGCAGCTGCGCCATGATTCAGGCCGTCGCCAGTCGCTCCAAAATGTAATCAGACTTTTGTCATCGTTCGCAGAAGGGCTCTGACAAAAGTTGTCAGAAGGTGCTGATGTTTTCAGTATCCACTCCCTTACATAGGCCAGCGGGCCGTTCAAGACAAAACGGACTTCTCCAAAAGAAAGTGGGTCACCACAACCATCGAAAAAAAGAGGACTCGGCCAGCAGTCACATGGAGTTGGGTGCGAGCTCCATGGAGGAAGTGCCCTGTCCGCGTTGCCCCGGTCACATCCACGGCCCGGTCGGATGAGACTTCTCCAAACCACCCAGTCCGTCCTTTCTCGCTCCGTTCGTAAGGCCAGGAGGCCCCGGACTCATAGCGCTCGGGTCGTCCAGAGAGGAGACCCGTCCTCTTTGGACCCATGAACCGAACGGGACCATCTCACGTGAGCATGTTGTGGAAGGTCATCATCACCCGAAATCGGTCGCAAGCAGTGAGCATGTGGTGGGTGTGAAAATTTGATGAGTTGTGGTGTTCTTTGGAGCATGTAGTTGATTAAGCGTGTCTTTGGGTTGCACAGGGGTATAGAAGCCTACCTTTGCTTTGGAATTCAGCAACGTTTCGCATGCTTCTGTTGACTGAACTGCCCGGACTTTTCTAAGTCGCAGATAGATGCTGACACTGTCTCAGCCTCGCCACAGCTTCACCTCAGCCGTCGCTCGAGACACGTCTGCCGTGCTCGGCAAAGGCCCTGAAGTTCTCGTGGACTACTCATGTGGCCATAGCTGTCAGCCCGAGGCGACGTGAGAAAGAACCTCCCGGACGGGGTTTGGTGAAGAAAACCGGTGGAGGTCGTGGACGTGGCGGATGATGCGAAGGGACGGTCGTGGACGTGGCGGTGTGAAAGGACGGGGAGGGAGACCTCCATAGCACTGCGTGCGTGGGCAAGCACGGTCATTCACTGGAATTCGGATGCTGCAGGTATCACTGTCGGCTTCATGTCTTGGCATGTGAAGCAAGTCATGCATGTCTTGGCCGAAGCCCCCGCCTGCAGGTCCACTTGCCAGCCTTCCTGGCCGACAAGAAGGATGCACGCATGGCCTCGAGGTCTGGGAACGTGAAGCGCCCGCCTTTTGGGTCGCCTAGCATCGGGTTTGTAGTATATACATCTTGGAGCTCCTGTTCCTGAAGGAACCTACAAAACTTCTGGGTGTTTGTTCGGGGTGTTGGTTCGGCAGACTATTCTCCTGACCAAGTTGTGTGAGCAATCGTGCCTGACTCGGTGCTCACTGATCAGCCTGCCACTCTTACTTGCACTTCAAGGCCTTGGAGCAGCATTTGCATGGAGACCCATACCGTCCAATAGGTGAAAATATGCCTTCGCATCCATATACTCTGCTGGGAAAAAGGGGGCGCGCATGGAGAATGACCCTGACAAAGCCAGACTTCCACTTGTTGATGCAGAAACAGCTGTTTTTTCATGGCACCCCAAAAACTACGCACTATCCAGACTCCCTCCCACAACTGACCACTACGACATAGTCTCACCTACCAGGCAACATGGGCTTTCTAGCAACTAGAAGCTACTAGGAGCAAAGGGCATCGCTACTACGGGCTCCTGGCCTTACTACTAGCAGCAATGTTCGCTACTAGTAGCCAAGGGCATCGGGACTCGAACGGAGCGATTTTCTTCCGCGTGGCTCCTGGCATCGGACCTGAACGGAGCAAGAAGCCTACTTCATTAAAAACAAAACAAACAAGCCTACTTCATTAGCAACAATCAAGCTTTCTAGTAACTAGAAGCTTAATTGAAGAAAAAGAATCAATCCTAGCGAAGCCGATCGATGTTCCTCGCTCGTTCTTTCCGACCACGGCCGGTTTTTTCCCGTGGCGGCAGGGCCCTGCGCTTGGCCGTGAAGAGCGGAGCGGTGCCACCGGGCGAGGAGGGTGTCGTCCGGATCGAGGCCCAGGGTCGGAGCCGCCGTGGTCGTTACAGTGTGGCAACACCTAGGGGTTCTTAACGCTTGTGTTACGGTAGTGTTACCTAGGGGTCTAAGATAGACCTTCAGACTCTGTTTGGCGTCTCTTGCCAGGATAACTGTTCTCGATCTCACCAAAAACAAGAATTCCTCTCCAGAGCAGGTCACCTGGCTGTGGGTCCAAATTAAATGGCCCGAAGCTCTATTTTAATACTGGTAGGTGAAACCCACGTCTAGTAGTCTATTGGTAAATGGCTCGGTGGGAAAAAACAAACCAGAAAAGGTCCCGGTGCCATGACCCACAGCCAAGTCAGTTAGCCTTTTTCAGAGGAATTCTTGTTTGCAGGGTCTTGCTTGGGAAGAAGAAAGTGCCTCAGCGGCTCAGAAGTGGCTCAAGCATCGTTTGGGGGCGCTGTGAATCGGAGCATTGAGTGGTTGATGTTGCAGCACCTCATCAACTCTGAATTCTGGGCGCTGTTGTGATGCAAAAGCCACAGACAGGTCGACACAGAGATGGTCTGAATCCCGGACTATAGCTAGAGCATGCTATAGCAGACTTGTTTGACAGGTCTTGTTCCAACCAAAAGGTGATGTTCAGAAAGGAACCTGCGGCAGACTGATTTGAGAAAGACTGTTTGGCTGGTCTTTCTTTTGGGGGAACCTTGGAACCCGTGTGCCTTTCAGAAAGGACTGAACAATGTGCCTTTGGGTGAATCATCGAGAAAATCATCGAGAATCGGGAAAATGCGTGGCTTGGAAGGAAACCAGTCCATCTTTGAGTTAACTTTTCATCTCGCTTCTTCCTGGGTTCCCCACCTTCCTGCAGGTCCCAGGTGGTCCGTGCCAGGGCCTCAGGACCATGAAAGAAGCGTTAAAAGAACGATAATGCGGGCTACCGGCACTGCCAACTGGCTTTAACAAAAACTAGACGACGGGTGGCCCGAGAGCGAGAAAATGAAAAGATGTAGATGTTAAGTTTGTAGATGTAGAACATGAATTTTAGTTTCTGATTATTTAGGATGTAGAAGTGGTGAAGAAGATAAGGTAGATATGAAGTGAGATCTGAACAAGTGGCGTAGAGGAGGTGAGCAGATGTAGCAGAGGTTTTGAATTTTGGATTTAAAGGTGTTGAACAAGACGCAACAAGATGTGAGAAGATATGAGAAGAGAGAAGATCTTGCAAGTGAAATGAGTGAGAAAGCGCAATTGTAAGTTATGAAAAGTTAGACATACAACGCTGAAGTGCCGAGAAGAAAAGACTTGTCAACTCTAGCGTATTGACTGTCAAGACTTTACCAAACAAACTTGGAGCAATGGTTTAGAGATGTTCCGATTTGTATTCAGTTGGCTGACTTTTTGCCACTTCGCCCGACAGCACGCGAATGGCGAACAAGCTAAAGGGCCATCGACCCTGTCGACGAAGAAGCGTCAGACGTTGAAGGTGACGAAGACAGCCATGTCAGCAACACTCGGAACTGGGTCGGCTGCTCTTCAAAAATTCCTTGCTGCGGGTCGTGCACTTCACAGGTACTGGACGATTTTCGGATTGCAGCAGTGGCCGACAATTTGTGGAAATTTTGACACACATGCTGAATGGCACATCTATGTCGGATTCCCTGTGGGCAGCATTGGAATCGAGGAGCTACAATCCCAAGGGCTTGGCAAACCCTGAGTTGCAAACTGCATTGCTACGAGCTTATTGGGGCGGATTTGCATGGGAACAAGTGGCGAGGTTGCAACACATCCGCGTGGGGTTAGAGGCGCGACAGGCCAAGAAAACTGTCTTCTTGGTACGAGCCATAGATCGTGCCACTGGCAGCATGTAGCTGACAAAGGAACAGAGCATTGCAGCGTTACAAGTTGTGAACATGACGAAGTCATCATACTTGATGGGACTTTGTCCTTTGTACGAAGGCATGCTGGCTAGAATCTCATGCATCCTGCCAATCCTCATGTTAACCAGAGAGCTGCCTGTGATTGTTCGTGCCATAAAGCTCCATCCACAAGAACCATCAATTTCAATCGATTCTGGTTGTGTCGTCTTGAAATATCAACCTGTGGCAGTTCTGGTTGAGATCGATGATCCGGAATACAAGACTTTGCAGTTGCCAAACAGCATGGCTCCACCTGGACATGTCTATCTGCAGGCTGTGTCCTCGGAGAAGGCATGGACCATACCGTCTGGAGCCAAGCAGCACATCCCAGTCATTTGCAAACAATTTCCGCTGGCACCGTGAAATGTTCTGACGCATTATGGCTTACAAGGGATCACTGCAAGGCAAGGTTTGGTTGCCTTCTCGTCGAAGCCTGGGTGGATGAAAGATCCAGACTACGCTTTGGCGATGTATGTGATGCTTTCAAGAGCGAGGAAACTGGAAGATTTGTGGTTGGTGGATTTGCCGCCGAGGCATATGTTCGAAAGTTTTTTACTGGACCAAAACCCTTTACTGGTGGAAAGAATGACAGAATTTCAAGAACTGGCGGCGCGCAGTGAAGAGAGCGCCTTGAGATTTCCGAAGTATTTAGGGTGGATACCAAACAAACTTTCACTGTATCGATACCACTACAAAGACATAACGCAATTGTCCCTGTCACTGGAACAATAAAATTGCAAGGAGTGCTCACTCAACCATACCAATTTTCCATCCGAAGACATGCTAAATCAAGCATCCTCTTAGACTATTATGATAAGATCGACTAGCGCAGAGAAGCACAAAAATTTCACTGTATCATACCATTACAAAAGCATCACCACAGTGTCTGTTTAATAACTGGAGCCAGAAATTGCAAGGAATGTCGACGCAAACATATCAATGTTCCATCCACAAAAATGCTAAATCAACTTCTGTTTCACATGACTATCAAACCTGTTCCTCTAAAATATACAATGTTACTTCCAAGCACATACTGCATCAACGGCTACTTCACAGAAATGGCAGAATCCTTCTTGCCAAAACATATTTTTTAAAAAAACATGTGCCTTTTGTCCGTTCAAGTTTCAAGCAACGTTGCTCAGCGTACGAATCATTCACAAAACGCAAAACAAACATTCCAGAACGCACGTTTCGTACGAGACATTCGCAAAACGCAGAAGCAAACCGCCCAAAACGAGCGTTTCATGCGAGACATTCGCAAAAACGCAGAAGCAAACCTCCCAAAACGAGCGTTTCGTACGAGACATTGGCAAAAAACAAAAGCAAACCTCCCAAAACGAGCGTTTCGTACGAGACATTCGCAAAAACGCAGAAGCAAACCGCCCAAAACGAGCGTTTCGTACGAGACATTCGCAAAAGCGCAGAAGCAAACCTTTGAAAACGAGCGTTTCGTACGAGACATTCGCAAAAATGCAAAAGCAAACCTCCCAAAACTAACGTTTCCTTCGAGACATTCGCAAAAACGCAGAAACAAACCGCCCGAAACGAGCGTTTCGTACGAGACATTCGCAAAAAAGCAGAAGCAAACCGCCCAAAACGAGCGTTTCGTACGAGACATTCCAAAAACGCAGAAGCAAACCGCCCAAAACGGGCGTTTCGTACAAACCTCCCAAAACGAACGTTTCGTACCAGACATTCGCAAAAACGCAGAAACAAACCTCCCAAAACAAACGTTTCGTACGAGACACTCGCAAAAACGCAGAAGCAAACCGCCCAAAACGAGCGTCTCGTACGAGACATTCGCAAAAGAGGACGAAACCTTCCAAAATGATCGGGTTATACGAGACATTCGCAAAAACGGAGAGGGAAACCTTCCAAAACGAGCGTTTCGTATGAGACATTCGCAAAAGCAACAAAGGAAAACTTCCAAAACGAGCGTTTCCTACGAGACATGCGCAAAAACGGAAATCTGTGATTACAACGCCCCAAAATCACAGCGCACATTTCAAACATGAGGGTTGCCCAAGCACACTGGGTAACGCAGTTTCGCCTATGTTTCGCGCATCCGGCACGCACGATCTCCGCAGAGGGTTGCACACGCCCCGGCACAAACGCAGTTTCGCCGAGGTTTCGCGCATCCGACACGCAAGATCTCCGCAGAGGGTTGACGTTCGTGATGGTCCGCCGGGCATCCCCCCGCCTTAAGAGAGAAAGAATAAAGAAGAGAGATGTGAAGATGTGAGTGAACATGTGAGAAGATGTGAGATATGAGAAGATGTGAGATATGAGAAGATATGAGAAGATGTGAGATATGAGAAGATGTGAGAAGATGTGAGATGTGAGAAGATGTGAGAGAAGATGTGAGTATGAGAAGATGTGCGAAGATGTGAGATGTGAGAAGAAGATGTGAGAGA